ATGTTTGGGGCCTGAGTCACTAGAGAGATGAGTATGCCAGGAAGGCAGCCAGGGAAAGCCATGAATGGAGCAGGGCTGAAAGGAAAGGCAGATTTGAGCTGCCTGCAGTACTGGAGAATGCAGATGTAGAGCAGGTGGTTGTGTGTGTGTGTGTGTGTGTGTGTGTGTGTGTGTGTGTGTTCTGTCTGCAGGAGACAGCAGACAGAACCACAGAGGTGTCAGCAGACAGGTGGTCTACAGTCATGGAGCAAATGAGGTGGTAAAAATGATGAATACACCGAGAAAATATTAAGCTGCCCTTCTGAACACTTCAGTATGTTAGATTAGGGAAAAGAGAAAGAAATAGAAGATACAGATTATGATCTGTGGTATACTAAAGGTCTCTAAGAAATGCAACTAATGGAGGAAAGAATTTTTAAAAACATGCATTTGACAGAAAAAGTTGAGGACAACGGTAATATTAAAAAGGTCAATCTTGGTACTCCGGTAAGAGTATTCAAAAGTGGAATGGGTTGAACTGAGGATAAATGAAAAAAAAATATACAGTTATATGTAGAAGATTGGCAAGGCAATGATCCTGAGAATCTCCAGAGGATTTTTTTAATCTAGCAGTTAATTGGAAAGATTCTCACCCTGACTAACTATATATCCTGATACCTGTGAACTAAGCAACTGCACTGCATATGGTAATCTGTAATAGTAGTTTCGTGCTTGGAGTGCCTGTCATTCTGGTCTTCTGAATACGGGCTGCTTGTCATGACATGCCAATTACTGCTATGAAGTCTCTCGGGTAGATGGTTCTTCAAAAAGAAGGGGTGATGAATGAAAGCAAAAGACAGGAAAAGTAACATTGTGGGACTGTCCTGCTTCAAGGTTGTATATGGTGAAATTTTTAGACTTATGTGTAAACATAACAAGTATATAATTCTTTATACCTATTTTTAAAATATATTCTAATTTTTAAATGTTTTTTTTCTATCATATTCTGTAGGGACTTCAAGTTCAACATATCAATACTTGATGAAAAATACCTGTTCCATATTATGCCTAAGATGTTTGATATTCAGACAGATAGTGAGGTTAAGCTTAACAGCCTAAGTTGTATGGTAATAACAATAAGCTTGTCTGCTGGATGGTTAACAACCTAAGTCTTCAGACCAAAATTAGATGAAAAGGAGGGCTGCAAAGAAAGCCAACTTTTTTGCCCTAGCCTTCCAAGGTCAATTAAGACTCAGGACATATGAGAACTTGTACTCTAACATCATGTAACTCAGTAGCGTCCCAAATTTTCTGATCAAGATTATGGGGCTGAAGAGGAAAGTGATCGATGATGTAGAGTGTGCCTAAGGAGAGTCACATGGAGAGAAAACATTCTCTCAGGCTTTCCCAGAGAGTACATTGGCCAAGCAATGGCCATGACTCATCCACATGGCTGACACTGACAAAGGTTCTACAATTGGAGGTACAGGATCTCAGGATAAATCCTGAGGGGATTTCACTGACCTTCTCAGACCCAAAAGCTACAACTCTTGTTGCATAGGTCCTGCTTTACCTTGGTCTTAACTATCCAGCAGAAAAGTATAAAAACGAAGTATAAGAAGTAAAGCCATGCTGTTATGTTGAGCTGTAGGGGACTCAGGTCAACAATTTCTGACATTGCCAGTTAAACAGAAGACCCAATGCTATTATGGGCTACTGGACTCTTTTAGAATATTTTGCTGAGTTAACACACCTATAATATTCAAATAACGGAACTTAACAAAAAAAGGTATACAGATGAATGTCCATTTTGTATCTGTTAGGATAGATATATAGTTACATTCTCTTAATGAATAGAGGGATTTGTTCTAATGGTGTTTATAGATAGGATATCATGTCCACATCTTGTACAGCAATTAACCACTGGGAGGAATGTATGCAATGTGTTAATTATTGAAACTGTCCTACCGATTTAATTTGAAACTGTCTCATTGCTATTTGTTTATCAATAAAATTATGGAAAAAAAAAAGGAAAAAGATTGAAGACTGTGAGTACCAATAACTCTTGGGATTTTTGAAAGGAAATAAAAAGAGACTGAAATCTGGCAGAAGTGGGGCCAAGTGAAAGTTTGCTCCCTTTCAGATGAGGGCGAGAACACCCCTTCTATTCTCATGGACACGATCTAGTAGGGCTGTTCGACAGTGTAAGTTCTAAACAAAGGAGGAAATTGCTCCCTGCTGCTTCTAGGCAGGCCAGGAGAACGGGCTGTAGCACGGATGTGGAGTTCTTCTCTGGATAAGAGGACATGGCCTCTATGACAACAAATCAGAAGCTGGGTTATTTGGATAGAAAAGCTGGCAGGAGGTAGAGCCGGTGGAGTGCGGAAGATGACAGGACAGTGCCATGGTGACCGAAGCGGTTAGGTGAAGGTGGAAGGCTCACAATGCGTTTAGGTATTGACGGGCACCGTTAAATTGACTTCTAGTAATCGTGTAGTCTACCTGATAGTTCTGAAGTCCAGACTGTTATAACTCCTGTTTTACAGATGGGCAGACTGAGGCAGAGAGAGAACTATTTTGAGCCATTCGCCACAGCTAAGCAAAGGCAGAGCTCAGATTCAACCAAGCAGTAAAACGCAGGTTAGAAGCTCCTCGAGAGAAGCATTTCATGTACAGAGCTGCCAAGACTCGGGCCGGCCGGGTAGCCCAGCGGACTCGGGCGCACTGGCTGGAGTTCGATCCCGGCTTGCCGCGCTGAACCTGTCCGGCCCTGAGACTGGGCGTGGTGGCGCGTACCCGTAATCCCAGCGTTGGGAGGCTGAAGACAGGACAGGAGAATCGCTGCGGGCCCAGCTACAGAGTGAGACCCTGTGCACCGTGCACTAAATATATTAGAAAAAAAAAAAAGAAAAAAAGAGAAAAAAAGAATTGCCGAGACTCAAGGGCCCTCTAAACAGGAAGTATGAGAATCTTCCCCCTCCAAGTGAAAATATTTTTTTGTGATGAGTCAAGAGAAGATACCTGGCCTTCCTGTTCCTGTCGTTATTAGGAACTGGAGCACTTTGCTCTGGAAGTCCCGGGCACCAAGCAGGGGATCACAAAAGACAGAACATAAATTAGCGCGAGTCATTGTCAAGATCGCATTCTTTTCACAAGGAAGCAGATAATTGGTGATAAAAGTATTGTGTGGCAAGTTGTCTGCGGCAGTATTTCTGAAACTTTTGATTTTTTAAAAGTTAAGATCGAATTTCATGACAAATATTACCTATCCTCGTGATATAAAATATGGAAGCGACAGACAACAAACATGTGAAGTCAGCTATCCCACCGGACCGTCATTAAATATAACCACCACATAGAATCCAGGTCCTGGAGGTCCTTGTGGCTGGGTAAGTGTCTTCCTATTTTCAACTTTGGAATACCAGATATACACCCACATAACAACACAGCTTTAACATTTTTTAATCTTACAAATAGAATTTAACCAATGTAGTAAGTGTATGAAACATATTTTACACTAATATATTACTATCAATTTATTTTCTATTATAAAAACCCCAAATCTTTTCTTTCCTAACAAAGTTTCTGACACAAATCTTACTTCTTTCACGTTACTCTAAGCCAGAGTAACATTGATTTTCATACTAAATTACATACTTACTGTCTCCAGCCGCCCTAGGAGATTCAATATTTTTTTCTTTTTCTTTTTTTTTTTTTTTGCGGAACCAGGGATTGAACTCAGGCCCTTGTGCTTGCCAGGGAAGCGCTTATTCCACTGAGCCATCTGCCCGGCCCCAAGAGATTCAATATTGACAGTGCTTGAGCTTTTAGAAAGTTGTGTCAAAATTGTTTTTTTTTTTTAATATTTTATTATTTATTTATTTATTTGGTACAGGGTTTTACTTGACTTGTAGTGATCCTCCTGTCTCAGCCTCCCCAGTGCTGGGATTATAGGTGTGTTCCACCAACCCCCGTTTGGGTGTCCTGGTTGGCATGCAGTAGCAAGGATCCAACCCCCGTGTTTACACTTGCCAGGCAGGTGCTTAAACCACTGAGCTATCTCCTGGGAGCCTTGCATATTCTTAAGGCAAGATTCCAACTGCTAAGATACAGTATTTTCATTTAATTTCCAGTGCTTCCAAAACATTAACACCAACTTAATTGCTCAATTTTAAAACCCAAGGGGAATAAACCTTTGAATGTAACATTTACATGAAATGTTAATAATTTACTTAATGTCTTGCTTTCTATATTTTTAAAATATGGGTAAAATAAGCAAATCTTGTAACAAAAAATGGAGCATTTCATAGCAAAAATTACTGGGTGGGAACAAAGTCATATCTTTGGTTTTGAAATTTCTGGAGGCAACTGATACATGAAATGAGAATATAGTAGTTTCACTTAGTAAAGCAATATGTAACCAGTGCTTTGCCCCTTAAAAAATACAGACCAAACTAGGATATAACTACTGATAATGATTATAAGAGATACAGAAATCTGAGCAAGATCATCAATTTTGTATTACGTGAAATATGGGAATTCTAGAAGTCTTATACACAAACTCTATGCCCTTTCAGTAGAAGGGGCCGTTCTTAGGGACCAAAACGTGATGCGGGTCAGTTTAGAAATGTTACTTGTGAAGTATGTGTTGCAAGAGGTGTGGACCCTCGTCTGCTCTGAAAGCAGCCGCAGACTGCTTCTGTGACGTTAATGATGGGGCAATCCTGGGATCAACGAGAAGTTCTGCTGCTGCCCACTGCTGTGGAGTAATTTTGTTGGAGAGCTGCTTCTCAAATTAGTAGCCTATTTCAGATAAAGAAAGGAAGTCGCCTTAACTTGAAACTGCTGTGTCATTTCTTCTTCCTTAACTGAAATTCCAACCAGGGTTCAGGAAATGCCCTAATGAGCAACTTCTCTTTTCTTTTTCCCCAACTAAGTGAATTCCAACCAGCGTGGCGGTTCAGGACTCGCAATCAGACCATTTACTTGGCTTGTCTCTTTGGGTATGGCGCTCAGGCGATGGGAAGAGCGAGTATAACTTGGTGCTGTTTGGAGGGGGGATCACGTTGATAGAGCCCTACTGTTGCTGGTAGGTACCTAAACTGGCACGTTAATTCTCTGCACGTTAAAGTATGAAGGCAGGTCTAATCAATACCTGTTTTACTTTGACACGAGGAGCTTGCCTATAATTATAATTTCATCTTGTATGCTAACTACGTATCAGGATGTTAGTGTAGTCAAGCTGTGATTTGCTATAATTTGGGTAAAATATTACTGAATTTCTATGAATGTTTTACTTTAATCAAGATAGAAATCATTATTTTAGTTCATGATAGCCAAAGGAATTTCTTCTTCCAGTTTAATATTCTCAGATATTTACTAAATTGGAACATGATTTAACATTTTATTGCCTCATGTTATTTTATGAGTAAATGTTAATTTCTATTTACATTGTAGCAATATCTATTTTATTAGCTTTTAGAGATAAGAAAATATAAGTTCTGTTCATAGCAGAAAGGGTACCAGATGGTGTATTAGCATGTGCTCCCCCCATGGTTGGCAGATTATTGTTGTTTTCTATGCAGATGTAAATCTGAACAGTTTGTTTAAGACATTTCAAGTATTCTAAAGCAATAAGCATTTGAAAACAATAATTTTAATTATAATAATTTGAAAACTTATAGGAGGGACTTTATACAATTCTGTGTATTTGTAATATACGTGTATTTGTTTGTATTGATTAGTGCTCCATATTTTTAGTATTGTCTCAGAATGTTTCATTAAGAGTGGATATGGGGAGAAAAATAATAAACGACATAATCTGTAATTCCTCTTGGACATTTTATTAGTAACTTATTTACTGGAAACTTCATTTAGTATTGAGACTTAAAATAGCCTTGATGATTTATCTGTGTTCAGAAATGTTCAACAGAGCAAAGTGAAACAGAACAAGGAGTTCGCTGCTGAAATTATTCAGCTGATTCTGCTTCATGGTATTATGGGGACTATATGTAGAGATTCTCTCTCTCGGGGCTCTGAATCAATGCTGACTTTTACTTTATTGGTGAAGGCCTCCACCGTAGACTAAGCTTTATGGTTTATATTTTGGGACTTAGGAAAGAAATTGTTCCAAAACAAATGCAACCCTTGTAATTTTCATGCTATGACATTGGTTTTGTTATTATTTTACTTTCCAGTTTTATTTTAAAGAAATAGAACAGTACAGTGTCAGTACATTTTGTTGAAGTGAAACTTAGAGTTGATGTAAAAAATGAAGCATATTTCTCAAAGTCAGCTTAATTTTAATGTCTGATGTGCAAGTATTTTAGTTGTAGATACTCCAAATAATTACAAAAGGTTTAAAGACAAAGCAAACTTTCAGCACAAGTAACCTTTTCATTAATCAAACTAATTATTGTGGTGAAAGTAGGAACACTTAAAAATTGGCTTGGATAATAAGAAAGGAAAAATAAAGAAAGAAGAAACAGAACTAGATGCAATATTCTTAAACAATAACTTCAAATAACTTACCAAAATATGGTTAAAATAGAACCATGAGCAATACTGATAAAATAAGAAACATCATATATGTGTGGAATTGCAATCAATCTCTTGTACATTGTATAAATAAAACTATGCAAATTAATCATGGAAATAACCTCTTATTGTATAAAGAAATGGATTTCTTGTTAGCATAAGAAATGGAGTGGCGGCAGATCCAGAAAGGCAATTATTTACAAATAGCAGATTGGTATTTTGGAGTATTTGGCAACAAACCAAACCAAACATAGAGGGAAGCTACGGATTCCTTCAGGTATTACCGGTGATGTTTACTAAGCTCAAGGAGATGAGCCCGGGAGGCACGGAGGGACAGGAGTGACACACACCTGCAAAAACAACACATGAAGACAGAGGACAATTGTAATTTTGTAGGGAAGGAACGAAAGAGAAGCAAGAACCTAATCAGCAAAAACTGATCCTTACTTTACAGAGCTGTTAATCAACAGGCAAGTGAGGAATCTTGGAGTCAAGTTGTGGCTATTTGTGGATAGATCAGAAATTGGTAGCCAATCGTTTTGTAAGAGGAGCTGATGATAGACAATTTTGCATTTCCATTAAATTGGATTCTGTGATGGAAAGCCAAAGCTAGGCAGTGCGTGTTAAAATTGGGGAATGCTTATCAGTGGAAAAGTGAACTAGTGTAATAGATTGTGGACTCTCAGGTGGCCTTTGTCAAGAGTCGGTTGGTCAAGGGGAGAAAGACTGTGTTTCTATTTTCATTTGCTCTCAGGAAAGAGGGAGGTTAGGCATAATGATCTTAAAATCCCACTGGGTTGCATCTTTATTTTATATTTTCAGGTTTGAATAAGTGAGAATTTGATCTGAAAAATGCCTTACTGGGTCTCGGTCTCTCTCTCTCTCTCTCTCTCTCTCTCTCTCTCTCTCTCTCTCTGTCTGGGAGTGGGGATTGAACTCAGACCCTTGTGCTTGCCAGGAAAGCGCTTATTCTACTGAGCTGTTTCCCCAGCCCTGGATCTCTTTTTAAAGGCACCATCAGCCATAGTAGCAACTGAATCTGGGAAAAGAGCTGGACTTGGAGCAAGATGCCTCCTGCCCCTTCCCTGTGTTCACTTTAGAGAGTTGTCATGGAAAAGCATTTCCAAAATCTGTTGCTGCCTCTGCCTCTGCCTCTGCCTCTGCCTCTGCCTCTGCCTCTGCCTCTGCCTCTTCTCTACTTCTCCAGCTTGAAACAAATAGTATTCATTTTCTAGCTTCTTCCACTGGGCTAGAGAGTTCTAGCCTTGTGTTCATTTCTTTCTCTAGTTGTTCCTTATACAAACATGTTCCAAATGTAGAAGATTGTTTGCTTGAGAATAAATTAAGTTCAAAATGATATTTGACTCTTTTGACACATTTCTACAAAAACAAGAATGCGAGCCTGGAGTGTCTGTAGCTAGCGGTTTGGCTTGGTCTCCCAGCCACACTTCTGATGCAGTTTGCCGCTACTCATTTCATCAAATGTGCTTCAGCAGTGCCCCCAAATCTAGGCTGACTGCACTGGGGTTCTCTTTCCTGCAGGTAAGATCTCTACATACCGGTGGCTACCTAGAATTTCCAGGCAGCTAAGATGTCTACCCTCCCTGATTCCTTTGAATCTGTAAATTCAAAAACACTTGAGCTGTATACTCCCTCATGATAAAAATCCTTCCAACAATGTATTCAATTTAATGGAATCCAATATAATGAAACTGAATGAATCAATTTAAAGGAAATGCAAACCAAACTTGGTTTGTGTTGCAGTGCATCGAAAATTTCTAACAAAAGTTTTGTTGTCAGCGTTTTCACAGTAACACTGAAGTTTTGGTAAAATTTAGATTTTTCTTTCTTCATAAACTAAGAGGTATCTGATCCTTTGATCATACTCTGAAATATCTTCTCCATTCAGCTGATGACTTTTCTTATTAGTAGCTATGATGTCTTTGTATTTGCAAGACAATTTTCACACAAAGGATGATTTTTTTCTCTCAAAACTGCACCTACCATTAATTTTTGTCCTGTAAGCATGCTTAATCTTATAAAGAAAATTTCTCAGTGTTCTCAAGATGTAAAGCACTTATTGTTCTAGTGGAATCTTTCTGACTCCAGCCATTTGGGAGACAGAATGGAAATGGGAAAGGCTGGAGCCATTAATTGTAGATTTTTGCTTGTACAGTGCTCCTATATATGCAGACGTAACTGGAGCAAAGATGAGCGCGTGGTACCTCTGTGTGATATCTGGCAGCTGGGTGCACTTTTGAAATGAACGAGGGAAAATACTTCGCTGAAAATGTGATTGACTCGATCTCATGAGAGAATCAAAGGTAATGCACAGAAACATTTTCCACTATAGAAATAATCGCTTAGCTGCCTGTCTAGGGATGTTTCTGTCCCTACTATGCTGTTCCATCGCTCCACCTGTGTGGTTTTACTCTGTACCATGCTGTTTGTACCACTATTGCTTTGCGGTGTAGCTTGAAGACAGCTATTACAAGGACTCCTGTTTGCTCTTGCCCAAAATTGCTTTGCTGTTTTAGATCTTTGGTTCTATGTGAATTTTAGGACTTTTTTTCTGGTTCTGTAAAGTAAGTCATTTGTGTTTTGATTGAGACTACATTGAATTTGTGTAGCAAAGTTTTGGATGTATGGCCGTCCTGATACTATTGGTTCTGCCTATCCAGGAGCAAGAGACACTGTCCATCTCCTTTTCTACGTCCTCTTCAATGTTCTTTCTTCCCCTGGTATTTTTTTTTACCCTCTTGTAATTTTCTTTGTAGAGATCCTTCGCTAGCTTACTCAGTTTAATTCCTAGGTGTTTCATTCATCTTGAATTTGTCTCCACCTGTCTGTGCATCAATGAAACAGAAAAGAGGGTGCAAAAACGTTCCTAGACACATTCAGCAATAATTTATGTGAAGTTCATTGTTTTCCTAATTTTTTCTCAATTTAGTTATTGGTGTACACAAATGCTAATGATTTTTATGTGCTAACCTTGTATCCTTCTATGTTTCTGAACTTGGTTATTAATTCCAAAATTTGTTTTTGGTGGAGTTCTTTGGGCCTTCTGTGTAAAGCATCATGTCATCTACAAATTGTTGTGGTTTGAGTTCTGCCTTTCCTATACCAATTCTTTTTGTGTTTTTCTCTTATCTCATTTCTCTGGCTGATGGTTCAAGTACAATGTTGAATAGAAGAGGTGATTGTGGACATCCTTGTCTTAGTCTTGATTTTAGGGAAAAGACCTTTAGTTTTTCCCCATCTAGTATGATTCTGGCTATTGGTTTTTCATAAATTACTTTTATTATAGTCAGTTATGATTCTTCTATGCCTATTTTCTTCAGGATTTTTATCATGAAGGAGTATTGGCTTTTGACAAACGCCTTTTCTGCATCTGTTGATATGGCCATGTGTTTTTGACCTTGTTTCTGTTTCTGTGATGTATTATGTTCACTCAATAGGTATGTTGAGCCATCCTGGCATTGCTGGGATGAAACCTGCTTGATCATGATGTATAGTCTCTTTGATGATATGCCCCGTTCTACTTGCTAACAT